ATGTAATGTATACAAAAGCAATGAAAAAGAAAGTTAGATGTGCTGTATGGTGCTCAAGTGTACATGTAACAGTTACAATTTTAATTTACAATCATTTGCCATAATTATAAAAATTACATTACATGCTTTAACTAACTGAGATTACAATGTGAAATTAATGTTACAACCTGAATTATGTTTATTAAGCTCAATAATTCTTATAATTTATTTTCATAAATGATAATTATTATTTACAACAGTTTACTTTAAAGTACACCATTTAATTATTTCAAGAGATTAAAATTACATGTAAATGAAACAAACACATGGAGATAATTATACATGAAATATACATACAGTTGTAATTAATTTATGCAATAGCAATGCTGAAGCATGCATGGGTGATCAATTAAAATAATTTGTGATTGCAGTCACTAAAAGCTTGCAGCTCAGAATCACACATAGTTTTATAATATGGACCTGTGTATGACTACATGTTGTATGTATGTAGGAAATTAAACAACTTGTAACTGATCTACATGCAGAGCTCTTGTGCACTTATAGTGTACATGTCATACTTGCATGCACATTAACTAATTAATAAAAATTTCCAGTAACAATACAAATACTAATTAAAAGTTAATTAACCAATAGACACCTATCGTGGGCAGACACTTCCCATACACTTTAAGTGGAAACTTATGGGAGGCACAAATACAAACACTACCTTTCTAACTTGCCATGAGCAGACCTTTTTCTAGGAGAACATTTTTTCATGTCTCAAGAAGACAAGAGAGCCAGCTTAAGGCATGCATGACTGTACAGTGTACTTCAAGATAGCAAGAACAGCAGCAGCTACAGAGGCAGAAGGTCTGGAGTGGTCTTTCTAGTGTGTGTCATTTACATGTACATGTCTAGCTTACTGGCACAGCACAGAGTCAAGCCTCACATAATGATTACCTCTGTCAGAGTGCATAATTATATACAGTAAGTAAGCATGGTATCTGAAGACATTCTTTTTCTGAACAATAATAATTTATATGAACTTTCATCAAACATGCGCACCAAGATCGTTCCTACACATTCCATCAGGATGGTCTAATAGCAACATTTTCACCAGCATTTCCAATCAATGATGCTGGATGATATGGATGTAGGATCAAAATACTAAAAAAACAATAATTATCTAGAATATCTTGATGGCAAATATATTGGCAGGGTAACTTTTAATGCCAAATTGGTTGACCATGCTGATTTTTATTTTAGTGGAGCAGTCAGTAAAATGTGTCTCACCTGAAGACTTGTCTTGGTATTTATCAGGGGACCAATGAGACTCTATAGCTTTGCTCCTGGTCTTGATCTCCTCCTCACTTGCAAGTAGCACAGATAATAGCTGCTGGAATAAAAAGAATATTAGAGAAATACAAATTCACTCTTGGTTGGTGCCAATTAACCTGGGAACTACAGTGGAAGCTCTATTAATGGACACTCTTGTGTCTCTCTTGTAAACTGTATCACCGCTTTTTGTTGCAGTGAGACAGTTAATGCTAATGTTGGAATGGCTAGTATGCTTTGCTATTTTATCACTAAGGTCCATCCTACATGTAGTACTGCGGTAAACCTATACTGCATACACGCAGCTATCACCATTAATGCGGCATTGCACCCGGCAACAAAACAACAACAAAAAATAATAATTTGGTGGTATTTTATTTTGCATTCCCAATGTTTATTGTAAGCTGGGCAAGCTCTCATAAGCAGCCATATTTCCCTTACCACTCTATATTTCCCTCCGTGGTGGGGGTATGGATATTTTCTGGAACCACACAATGCAGTATATAGCCTGAACTAACAACATGCCGTGCTACTCCATGGACACAATGCCAACTACATGAACATAATTAGGAATTAACTAACTGCCAGTTAATTGAGGCCACTCGAGGGTTTGCTTAAAAACAGTAACAAGTACATTACACTCAAAAGTTTAACTACCTCGGAATTCGAGGATCCTTGTGCATTCCCAGGAGATGGAAGAGGCATTGCAGATGGTGCAATAGGCAGCCTGTCCAATGGTGATCCCAACACAGCAGGTTTACTGGTACCAGCATCAGCGTTTGCCCCACTGGAGTTATTTCCACTGCTTGCTGTGCTACTGGAGCTACCTCCACAGGGATTGGAGTTCCAGATGAGAGCACCAGGACAACAGATGGCTATAGTCTGCAGAACTGAACTCAGAGCTAGAACAAGGGCATGGTGCTGAGGGCATGTCTTGTACTGCGAAAGGACAGGAAGTGACTGAGGACTGATAGCAGCCAAGGATGAGCTGTCAAAATAACACATAATAACAAAATTGAAGCAGAGCATGTTTGAAACACAGTTTTTTCAGTATAACCCACCCAGCATCCAATGTAATTCCATAAATGTATTGAATCAGTGCTTTTTCATGGTTACTTCTGTATTTGAACTGCATATTACATACATGTACATGTGATAAATTATTACAAGTACATGTAGCTGAGCAAGTGTGGAAGTGGAAGTCAGGTAGTTAATGGGGAAATCATTGATCACGATCGATCTACATGTATCAAGCAACACATTGTTAATGCTTAGTTTGCCCTGATGACTACATTGTGACCCTCCAAGTGAAAACAGGGATAAAGGTGATAGCACGCTCACAACACGCTAACACAGCATGCTTAGTGTGTCCTAAGACAAGCTGTCCATGTGCAGAGAAGGTTGTGTCCACTAACCCCCAAGGTTAGTGGCAAGTAAAGTTTCTCATGGAAAATTTTTGAGGAAATACAAATTATAGATCAAGCACGGTAAGAGACAACTTTTCTGGGGGAAGTGGGCGGGGGGCTAGTGGGCTAGTTAATCATGGTATACAATAGCTTTCCCAAAGGGCAGGCTCAAAAATAATATCGTTTTTCATTTGTACCCTGTACTACATGTGTACCTCTCTGAAGTAATGGCTGGTACGGGGCTTGGTATAGATGAACTGCTCGTCCTGGTAGAACTGTTTGTTCCTTGACTCTGCTGTTCAGACTGCATCTGTTCAGCTGCAGAGTATAGTGTTGTCAACTTCTTGGAACACACTTGGGCCAGGCTTCTGGCAAGAGTTTGAGACATAACTATTTGGTCTACATACTAAAGAGATGAAGAGTGGAAAAAATCACAAGTTATTAAAAGCCTTAATTAGAGTCACTGTGATAAATAGGCAGGATCCTACATTGTAAAGTATTTCCACATTGTAAGCTATGTGTCTGACCAGAAAGGACACCACACTTTACCCTTAGCAGAAGAGGAATTAGGAATTTTAGCAGCAAGTCATCAGCATTCTTGCTTTTATCCAACAAATCTAACAACCATTGAAGGAAGTCCTGCCTATCAAGTAGGCTCTCCTGTAAACAGAGAGTAAAAAATTGATTACAGTCTCAGTGAACCAGCAAACATACATTGTACATACATGTATATTCAAAAATGTTCAAATGTTGTTGTTTATAGTGGGCAATGCGCTTAGCTACACCTAGCTAGATCACAGGCATGCCACTTCAAATGAAAGAAACAAATATATCAACTAAACTCAATAGGCTTCAAAATCCCAACCGACGGGAGGCAGACCAGTTGGCTATTTACAAGCATGACCAAGGAGCTGAAC